AAGACAAACCCTCTTGTAGTCTGACTCTTCTCCTACTGAAGAATGTTGTTCCTTTGGCAGGAATTCCCTAGTGATCCAGTGGTTAGGCCATGCTGCTTTCACTACCTTGGCCCAGAGGCAATTCCTAATTGGGGAACTAAGATCCCGAAAGTGCAGCAAAGGAAGGAGGGAGAAAGAGAGAAGTGAAGAGAAAGAATTCTGCTCCTTTGGTAGTCTCATCTCTCTTCTGCGTCAGTCTCCCCCTATTAGACAGTCTCGGTAGCTTATTGAAAATGCTCTTCTATTTCCCATAAGTTTTAAAAATGTGCTTCCTTGACCCCACCCCCCTCTCTCTCCAACTACTGCTGTACCATTTCTGTCCTTGCTTTATGGCAAAATTTTCCCAACAAGTGGGTCACATTTGCTTCACTCTCATTCTCTCAGTTCAGTTGCTCAGTCATGTCTGACTCTACGACCCCATGGACTGCAGCACGCCAAGCCTCCCTGTCCATCATGAACTCCCGGAGTTTACTCAAACTCATGTCCATTGAGTCAGTGATGCCATCCAACCATCTCATCCTCTGTCGTCCCCTTCTCCTCCCGCCTTCAATCTTTCCCAGCATCAGGGTCCCTTCAAATGAGTCAGTTCTTCACATCAGGTGGCTAAAGAATTGGCAGTTCAGCTTCCAATGAATATTCACCATTCAATGAATATTCAGGACTGATTTCCTTTAGCATGGACTTGTTAGATCCAAGGGACTCTTAAGAGTCTTCTCAAACACAACAGTTCAAAAGCATCAATTCTTCTGCGCTCAGCTTTCCTTATAGTCCAACTCTCACATCCATACATGACTACTGAAAAAACCATAGCTTTGACTAGTCAAACCTTTGTTGGCAAAGTAATGTCTGTGCTTTTTAATATGCTGTCTAGATTGGTCACAACTTTTCTTCCAAGGAACAAGCACCTTTTAATTTCATGGCTGCAGTCACCACCTGCAGTGATTTTGGAGCCCCCCCCCAAAAATAGTGTCTCTCACTGTTTCCATTGTTTCCCCATCTATTTGCCACTAAGTGATGATAGTGATCATCACTATGCAATGCCATGATCTTAGTTTTCTGAATGTTGAGTTTTAAGCCAACTTTTTCACTCTCCTCTTTCACTTTCATCAAGAGGCTCATTCTCTCAGTGCATTCCAATTTGGCCTTCATTCCATGTGCCACTAAAACTACTTGTCAAGACCGCCAAATCCTAGTGGAATTTTTCTCTCCTCAGGATTTAACTTCTCAGTAGTATTTGGCACAGCAGACCACTCCCTTTTCTTGAAATAGATAAATTCACTCTCCTGCTTTAGTGCTGAGCCTCCTCGGTCTGCTTTGCACCCCCTTCACGCACAGGAAAGTTTCAGGCTTGATCGTTAAGTCTTCCATGCTCACATATGACCTCAACCAGTTCCATGACATACCATCTCTATGCTGGTGACTCTCAAAATTTATGTCCACTCCCTTCAGCTCAACTTGAACATTCACCGCCTGCTTGACTTTCCACTTAGGTTTTTGAAACACTTGTGAGACATCCAACAGGTTCCACATAGAACTCTAGTTACCCACCCCTCCCAATCTTCTCTACAAGCAGCTGGCACCACCAGCCACCAGGCTGTAAGCCAGGAATCTGAAGGAATCCTTTGATTCCTCCTCCTGTCCCTCCACAGACAACCCATGAAGCAAATACTCTTGATTTGATTCAACCTCCAAAATCTCTCTGAAACCCACCATCTGCTCTGCTCCATCTCCATGGCACTTGCCTAAGATACTATCAAACTTGAGCTGACCATTGCAGTAGTTCCCTAACTGCCCTCTCTGCTTTCTCTTGTTCCACAGAGCAGCCAGTGATGTTTAAAAACAAAAACATATCACTCCCCTAATTAAAGCCCTACAGTAACTTCTCCTTTTCATTAAAATAAAATCCCCAAGCCCCTGTATGTCTTAAGAGGCCCTGCACAACTTCTCTAACTCCATTTCACTGCATTCTCCTCCTGCTTCCTTCTGTTCCAACATTCCTGTTCTTCTGGACCTTTCAGGGCTTTGTACATGTTCCCAGGCCAGGAATGTCTCCCCAGCTTTGCACAAGGCCAACACAAGTTCATGTGTCAAGTGTTAGCTCAAATGTCACCTTTTCACAGGGACACTCCTTGGCTCTTCCTAGCCAAAACAATACACTCTTTCCCCCATAACACACTCGTTTGGACCCACCAGCTTATTAACTTCTTATAAGTTTTTTTCTTAATCCTTAATTACCTTGATTATTTGTGTTTCCTTATTTCCTGTTTTTCACACTACACTACAAATTTCATGCGGGCAGAGATCTTGTCTGTTTTGAATTCTACTGAAGGCTACTTGAAAATAAAGCTACTCTTTCCCTCTGAGCAGGCTGATTTTAGATCCACGCCCCCCCTCCCCCAGCGCCCCACACCCCTTCAAGCTTTACTGGATTTTAGTCAAAATAATTGCTGTGGCATTTACTCCATGAAAAACAAGCAGAGAAAAACCACATGGGACAGCCAAATACTAGACCACCACCCACTCACTAGCCTAGACAACGGACTGCACACAGGTATCCGCAGTGGCCCCTTACAAAGCTCTTTAAAATGTAGGACAGAGAAACGTGGATACAGGCAAATATAATATAACTCTGACACCTGCATCAAAGGTTTCAACCTTTCCCCCTAGCAATCACTAAACACAACAGTGATTTCAGAAGAAAAAAAAGCACAAAATAACTCAAATGTGTGATCTTTGCTCCAGAGAAGTTAATGATTTCCTGACTTGGTTCTCTCATTTTGGTCTGGCTGGCTAGTCATTATCTGCTCTGGATGTTTCTTTCTAACCTACAGTGTCCTTAACACATATTCTGTTCCTACCAAGTCTCATGTTTAGAATAAGTTCCCTATCCTACTTTCCAAAATGCAAGAAATATCTTCTCAATTTAAAATTCAGAAAAGAACTCATTCTTTCAAGGATTTATCTCTAGGTTTTGATTTCAGGATATCTTCTACCCTACTTCTAACTTCTGTATTTCCTAGATTCAATTCTATTTTTGTTCCAGAGCTATCTTGACTAAATTAGATGGCCTGGCTAGACGTGAAACCAGTATGTTATATAACTTCTCAGGAGAATGAAGCTATATATGTATTTTAAAATGTACTAAGATTTCAAAGTCTTGGGATACCTAAGATTTCTTTCTGTAAGGAAATCATTTCAACATTTTGATAAATGGCAGAGGCAAAAAATAAAAATAACGTTAAGCAATAAAATTATGCTGAAACTCAAAATGATATGAACCTCAAGTCTCATGCTCCAATTCAAAAGATAGCCAGCAGCACAGTGCATAGTTTAACACAGGGATGTTCTGAATACGTCTCTGGGTCACAATGAAGTCGCCTGGAGAGCTTGGAATAACACAGAGTCCTACATATTTAGATCCAGGCGATCCTAGATGAGCAAGAATTTCAAAATTTTTGGAGGGAGTTACAAGCATCAAGAAATGGAAAGTCAGAAACTTAAAACTGAGAGTGTCCAATACATCAGACCTTTTGAAAAACCCCAACTGTCCCTAACCAATAATGGATATTACAAATCTGCATTTTAAAAACATCTCACCAGTTGATTCTGATGCTCAGATTTGGAAATTAGATACAGAGCCAAGAACAGGGCTTCTGGGACCCACTGTCAATTCTATCACTTAAAACTTTGAGCCTGTGAACAATTCAACTATCTTGGCAAACATTATTAGTTCCTTCCCTGGTAAGTAGATAATAAAAACCAATACTGCAGGGCTGATATAATAAATAGGAATTAAAAAACACCAAGCACAATTCCTGGCATACGACAGTGTTCAGCACAGGGTAGGTCTTAAAGGGCCTAAAAGCATCCACCACAGTGACTGTAAACACAAGGACATACCTAACGGTGCCACTATGTTACTTTTATCCACTAGAAATTAACTATTTACTTTCCATCTAGACCCCTAGAAAGATCAGAGCTTTACAGACTCCTCCCAAAAATCTTTCAGTAACAAAAACAAAGTTAAAAACCCACACACCCATTGTTATACTGCTACTACAAGACAGCTAAGTATTTTTATGAATGCTTCTAGGAAACATTTTAAATAAAAAGTGGGGGAACTGAGAAGTCTTAAACTGATTAGAAAGATATGAACCAAAACAGTAACCCCCCCCCCTTTTTTTTTAAAGGAAAAAGTATCCGGGGTGTTTCAAAGCGAGTTTAACTTTTCAGATCAGCGGTCTAAGAAACTACCGTCATTTACTACCATTTGTAACAGAAAGGAAGTTTCAAACCACTGGAACCCATTACCTTCCCACAAATGTAACAACCAGAGAAAAGGTTGTCCAGGATTGTGAAAATACAACCAAGAAAAGTAGCAGGGGACCCATACAGAACCACGATACTGGAAGGCAGACAGACACTCTCCTCGACTTTTTTCCTGCAATTCTACAACTGGGTTTGACTCTCCTCTCAAAATGACGTGGAAGAGGGCGAAGGGAAAGCCTCCATGATCTGCCCCCAGCCAGGCCAGGAAAAGCAAAGTCTTTCCAGGTTCAAGCCCTAGGAAGACATGGGGAAGCCTTCATCTCCAGTCTTGGCTGGGGCTGGGGGTGGGATGCGGGTTTAAGGAGAGATCCCTCGGCTGCAAGGCCCGACTCTCAGTTTTCCCTCAAAGGCAAGTGGTAAAAGGAACAAGACGCCGCGGTCCCCAACCCCTTCCCGCTCTGAGCCGGCGGCCTACTCTTTCGGGTCTGGGGGCACCGGAAAGGACCAGACTACTCCACCCAAGGCCCACATACAGACTTCGGCCCGCGGAGCGTGGCCCCCACGTCCCGGGCCTCCCAGCGCTCGGGCCGGCGAACCATCCGAGAAGGGCGCTGCCCGTGCCGCCGGGGAAGATGGCGCCCGCAGAGCAACTGCGCCACCACCACTGGCGAAGGGCCAGGCCCAGCGCCATCTTAGCGCCTTCCAACCGCCCCCTCCTCCCCGCCCCGCACAACCCCCGCAAGAGCCTGCGTCCCGGCCGGTCGGGGGGCGCGAAGCGCGATGAGCCCGCGCACTCTCAGCCCAAAGAGAGGGCCACCGAGCCTCTCGTCTCTTCGGACCGGCCGCGCGGGGCCCGCAGGAGGAGCCCGGCTGCGCCGCCGGTCCTCCGCGCGGCGCGAGGGCTCGTCCGGGCCCGGCCGCGGGTCGTCGGCGGTGCATCGGACCCAGGCGGCGAGGCCACCGGGGAAGGGCCAGGCCGGCCGGCCCCGGCGCGCGCGCCGGGAACCAGGCCGGAGCGGCCGGCTGGCCCCGAGCTCTCCCCGCCGCGGCCGGCGGCACAAGCGCCGGGAAGGAGGAAGCCAGGCTGAAAAATAAACCCCGTCCCCGCCGCCTCCCTCCCACCCGCTCCCCTCCCCCTCTCGAGACGCGGGGTCCATTTTGCCGAGAAGAAAGAAAATGCGATTCACACCCAAGAGCTTCCGAGAGAGAAAAGAAACGAGGCGGGGGGAACCGAGGGGAGGAGATTGGAAAAGCTTATTTTTCTTCCTCGCCCGCCGTCACTCCTGGCCCTCCCTGCCCCCTGCTCGCGGCCCCGCCGCGCCCGTCCTCCCCTCGCCGAGCCCCGCTCCCTCCTTCCCGGCTCCCGGCGGCTCCGGGGGGGCGGAAAACACACTCGCACTCGCGCACACAACTAATTTTAAACCGGCTCAATCAATGAGTCATTAAAAGGCTTCCCTCCCCTCTCCTCCCCACCACCAACCGCCACGCCACCCCCCTTCCCAGGCTTCTCCCTCTCCCCGCTCCAGAAATTTGCATCCGCGGAAAAGAAAAAAAAAAAAAAAAAGGCGCCAGGGCCCCCACCCCGCCGAGGCGCCCCCAGCCCGGCCCCGCCGCCCCCTGCCCGCCCGCGCCCCCGCCCGCGACACTGAACTTGGTCTTCCCGGGGCCCGGGCATCGCTGGGAAAGGCATAAACACTCGATTCCCCTTTTCTCCGTGTCCATTAAACATCCACCCACCACCACCATCACCCACCCACAAACCCACCCCCCCCCCAAAAAAAAAACACAGCCTTAGCCAATAGCTCTCTGGGCTGAAACCTAATATCCTGGTTTTGGCAACTCGGTGTTTAATTTGCTCCTCTTTCTTTTCTGTCTGTCTGGAGATAGATCTCCAGCCCCCCCGCCCTCGCTTTTCCCCTCCCCGAAGGAAAGAGGCAGAGGAAGGAGGTTGTGTGTGTTTTTTTTTTTTTCTCCTTGAAATTTTTATCACAAAATTATAATACACTCAAAGGGAAACTCACCGTCATGAAAAAGCAGTGCCTTGTCAACGGGGTTTCTGCGCCATCGCACCAGGGGCGGCGGCGGCGGCGGCGGCGGCGGGCGCGGGGCGCGGGGCGCGGGCGCGGGAGCTCCCGGCCGAGCGGCGCCGGCCACACGCGCTCCGCTCTCTCTCTCGCTCACCCCCGCGCCGGGCGGCGGGCGCCCGCTCCCCGCGCCCGCCCGGCCTTCATGCTCTGCGCCCGGGCAAACCGCTCGCCTGCTCGTCTACCTCCAAACTTCGGTTCTCGCCTAGCAAAAAATGCGGAGATTAGGATTTTTTTTAATTAAAAAAAAATTTTTTGTTGTTGTTGTTTAGAAAAATCAAACTCCAAAGCTGATAATTCCTGCTTCCTTTGGGATTCTTTTTAACCTCAAGAAACGTAGTGGTTTATTCAAGAAACAGGGTTTTGGGGTTTTTTTTTTTTTTTTTTTTAAAAGATCTACGAGATGCGTGCTATTCTCAGCAGGCGCCCTACACACACACACACACACACACACACACACACACACACACACACACACGCCAGTTTTAGCTGTGGGGGTGCGGGGGGAGCGCCAAGAGGGGGGGTAGTTTAAAAACAAAAGACACAATATTTGTTTAAACTCTTAATTAGAATATGTCCCAGTAAATCCTTTTTTGCTTATGCTTTAAAAAAAAAAGCGAAAACATCACTTTTAACTTATTTGGCAATTCATTCCAACTTTTAATTCTACTAAGCTTTCCTTTGCAACACCCTCTTTCCATTCCGAAGTGTAGTGAAACCTTATCTGTAAACCTGTATGTCAACATTTAAAACACACACACACACACACACACACACACAACACTTTAGCAGCCAAGATGAAGGTGAGGCGGGAAGTAAGTCACTCTTAAAACATCCAGTTCCCAGTGTTTACTCTTTATGCAGATACCTGTATCGTCACATTTGTGGAATTTTCACGATGTGATCCCCAGTCTTAAAAAAAGAGAGCTACCAAACATCCATTGAAATAGAATAGGTTAAAAAAAGAGAAAGAGAGCTACCTAGCCTTTTAACACTGTAATCCAAGTATGATTACCACCCATATTTAATCTCAAATTGAGACGTCTCCATAAACCATCCAGCATCCAGAGCACTTAAAGAAATGTTAATTATGACAGTGTGGATTGGGAGTAGGTGCCTCGGTGGTTTAGGTTAATTACATTTACTTTTCCTGTAAATGCCCACAAAAATAAAGTCGGGGGGGGGGGGAGTTGTTGTCTTTTATTTTAAATAAATATCAAAGTAAAAGATGGATTTTACAAAAATGTAATTCAGAGTTTTAAAAATACATATGTAGGCCCAAGAAATACTTTAAAATTATTTTAAATTAGTTTATAATACATATAGCAATGGGGTTCTGCTGATAGAAAGCTCAAACTCATATCCCCCAGATACTGAGTTCTAAAATTATCCTTAGATTTAAATTATTTAAGTGAAATTGGTTAGTTTCTAATACAAATCCCCTGAGCATTAAAAACCATAATGGTAGCATACCATGTTTGCTTTTATAAGGATACTGTAACTATTCTATTTTATTGTACAAAATAAATAATGTCAAGGTTGGTATACAATGTTGTCATATTCAAGATAGATCTCTTCAAAAAACAAACCACATCTTGTTCAAGTAACTGCCACTCTGTCATTCACAATGTGTGCTTTGTATTTAGACTGGCCTTAATAAATACAGTCAGTGATTTAGTATCACATAGTATCATGGAGGTGTTTTCTCAGAAGATACGTGTTGTGTTCACATTCAGCCAAGGTCTTCCTGGAACTGAAGTCTTTGCATAAATTAGCATTATTTCTCTACACTTGACAGTTGAACAAACCAGTTTTCTAATTGGCTTGGGAAATTTTAAAACCTGTTTTAAAGTGCCTTTGGATTGGCTGGAATTTAATTATAATACACATTTTGAAGAATTACATTTCAAAGGAGTCCATGGATTATTCATTGCAATTAGGGCCCACCAAGCAAGTTTTACAGCTGTTGGTTCACAGCTCCAATGAAATATTAATGGATTTCAGAAAGCTGTTCTCCCTAGTAGGCCAAAACCCCTAAAAAAATACAAATCTGACTTTAAAATCACTCAACAAAGAGGTGAGCTCCAGAAGAAGATAGAGCACTGCGGGCTTTCTCACAAATGCCCAAAGAACAGAGCTGACATTTATTAAGGGCCTACTAAGTCCTGCCAGGCATTATTCTAAATACTTTATTCTTATAGTATATATTATTGCCTGAACCTTCACACAAACCCACAGAATAATGTTTCATTATCCAGATTTTCGCCAATGAGTCTCCCAATGTTTCTCATGATTTGCCTGAGGTCATCAGTCTAAGAAGAGCTGGGGGGAACCCAGGCCTGGTTGACTCCCCAACACACCCTCTCTTCAAGTCCCAGAAAGGATCCTGGGAACAAGCAGTCTGTGCTATTTCAATAAAAACCAAGTTCAGTGGTGGTTAGGGGGACCACTCTCTCTCATTGGCAGAGGGGCTTATAGGCAGATGGGATCATCCTTTCTCATTGGGGAAGATTTAGTTTGCCAGTTGTCAAAGCTAATTTAGAATATTTGGGGGGCGGGGGTGGGTCACAAAATACTGGGACAGCAGTGGGGAGAATCTCAGACTCACCAGGTATAACACCAAATTGGAATCATTTAACAATAAAAACAACTTCTTTAAATTTCCCACATGCAAATAAAAAAAATGTAACATTTAAAATAAGGGATATGCCTTTGTACATAAAATTTTAAGTGATGGTTTATATAGACAGGATTTTGGTATCAATATAAGATTTAGAAAACTTTTAAAAAAGAAGGTCTTTAAATGGCTTGACCATAATGCAAAAAACTTTAATTGTGTACAGTTATGTGTAAGTTCCCTCCTATGATGCTCATCTGTATATGTGACCTAGTAAGAAGGGCAACTGGACACAGGTGGAAAAAAAAGATAAAATTGAAATACTCTAGCATGGGTTTGTACCTCTAAATAAACAGGTTCAAAACCAACATAACAAGTAAAAGTGGAAATGTTGCTGTTTTTTGCCTTCTTCCTCCACGTGTTCCCCTCAGTTCGTTAACTGTTCTCAGAGCGGGGAGAATGCAAATACCGGAGATTAAGTGGTGATATGCATGACCAGATGTGTCCAGATCACAGAAATCTGAGATATACCCAATGAATGTTTGTGGTATAAAAAACTTAAAAGTTCTCAATGTGCATAAATAAGCTCGGTACTTTTATTTGAACCTCTTGAGGTACTTATAATCTGAGGCTTAAGTGCACTGGCTATGTACTGAGACTGACCGGGGTTCAAATTCCATCTCTGTCACACACCAGGTGTGTGGCTCTGGACAAGTCACTTCACCCTTCAGAGCGTCAACTTCCTCATCTATAAAACAGGGATAATTATAGTACTCACATCTGAGAGTTATTTTAAGGATTCAGGAACTAGTGCATGTAAAATGTTTAGAATGGTGCCTGAAACATAATGAGAGGTCAGTATGTTCGGCTGATATTCTATCACCTCGTTTTAGTTATGTGTCAGGTTAAATCGTGTGAAACCTTCCCATGTAAATTTCCAATGGCAATCTCACATGATTCCACCAAATGTATCTCTCTTCTGTTCTGTCCAGGATAAGGAGCTCCTCAAAGGCTTTTTATTTTCTAAGGGCCGAGCAGAGTACTTTATATATACTAAGCTTGCAACCAGTACTTGTAGGATAAAAGAAAAACAACCCAATCCACAAGATGTGTTAGAATGCAAGAAATCATCATATTTCTACCTAGACAGGTACATATTAAGTGAATGATAGAGTCAGTCTCCCTGAATCACATAAAGCCACTGCCCAGTTGTTCCCAGGCAGTATTGCCTAATGGTTTATAAGTTCTTCCTCACTCTCTTTCACTTCCTCTCTCATCAATTAGAGCTTTATCATTGCTGCATTTTAGCCATGTGAACGTGGCCTATTTTTTTAACTTCTCTCACCTCAGTTTACTTTTATGTAAAATGAAGGTGACAGTATCTGTATCTTGGGTCAGTAGGGGAAGAGTTTAATGATATTAGGGATGTAAAACCCTTGCTTTAGTGCCTGTATAC